GGGGGGGGGGGGTTAACTTGTTCTTATAGACAGTAGAATTGTAAATGAGCTGATTCAACAATTCCAGGCTCATAACTGTGCCTGATCTACAACAGGGAACTGCTGCTTTTTCTTTCCTCATCCTTACTATCGTCATTTTTCCTCTGCTTCTTTTGTATGTTTGTCACTCTTGTGACCCGCTATTTCCGAGGTGCCTTGATAGTCGAAGCAGACTTTGTGCTGCTGAAGCTAGAGAGGTGAGCAGAGTAAGCCTGATTCCCTGTAAAGACTTCTCTGTTGACATCTGTCCCATGGCGCTCATATGAACATTTACAGTTGCGAGCGACGTAAAACCTCTTCTGACTTTTTTTAAAGAGTCATCAAATATAGGATTTATTTTGGAGCCTCTTTTATTTTTTCTTTTGGGTACAGGGGGTATTGGGTCATGGAGTATGGTCATTAGGGTCGGCAAGTATCGGATTTATTTTGTAAAATGTTTGTTTTTGCTATAGGATACTGACAGTAATTGGACATGGAGAGAACCCTCATTAGAAAAACTCTTACTAAAACAAACAAATCACTAATAAAGCCTAGTTGTGTCAGAGGGATTGCTTATGGATGGAAATGTGGGTGGTTGGTGGCTGCTGTGGAATGATTTGCTCCTTGGTTGTTTTTTTCTATCACACATCTATCTTCTCTAGCTCTCTTCTTCTTTTTCTTTCTTTTTTTTTTGGTGTTGTTGTTGTTGTTATATGTTACTCTATATTGTGTTGATATTGGTGAAAAATTCCAGTTTGGATTTCTTCCATTCCAATGACCTACATAGTGTTGATATTGGTGTACAATTCAAAGTTGGCTTTTCTTTCCCTTCTACCAGAACCCTGTATTGACCAAATTCTCTTTTCCCTTCTACCAGAACCCTGTATTGACCAAATTCTCTCAAGACCAGCTGACCTTGACCCCTCAGCTGGGCCAGGTCATGGCGGCCGCAGCCCCGCTACAGCTGCAACAGCAGTCGGCGACGCTCATCGCGCAGCAGCCGGTGATGCAGCAAACAGCCCAACAACAACAGCAGCAGCAGCAACAGCAGCAGCATCAGCAGGCGTCACTGATTATGAGTGGGCAGTCAGTTCAGCCGAACCCTCTGATTGTCTCAGGTAAAATGTTTACCGGCTTCAGAACTGCTTTTCTTCAAATTCTTTGGGAATTCCAGATTTCTTTTTTTGCCCGTACAAAAACTGAGTGTGATGAAATCAAACTGAACTCAACAACGAAACAGATGAAGAAAAAAAGGTTGCGGCTTTTGCTTATCCGAAGAAAAAAAGAATAAAATGTGCAGAGTGTTGAAGTGTTTTCTTTCACTTTCTGTTGTTCTGTGGGTCGAAGTGACCAGATAGGAGAAGGCCAAGTGGATCGCATTTTAATCTGCGCCTGTGCACCTTTTTACTGTTTTCAAGAGAAACAAACAATTGTTGTTGGCTTCAGAATGTACCAAAAGCAGATAATTAAAGGCTTGAGGAGTTGTTGTTATTGCTAGCTTCAAGCAAAAAATTAGTGAGTAAATGAAATTTTGATAAACTTGCAAGAAAAATGCTATTTTATAATAAATGATCTTTTACTTACCTTAATACCCTTTGCTTCTTTGAAGATTGTTTGATTTAAAAAATGACAATTGAAGACATCTTTTCGTTCAAGTATAATCAAAGACCGTTAACTAAACAATATAAATTTGCTTTAGAATTGTAGATAAGTGTCTGCCACGTTTTTGAGATTTATACATTTATAAACATGAGAACAAAACCTTGTAAATCCATGTGGCGCATGGATATTGAAATGGGTTATTTACATTGAATTGAAAAACAGTTTATTCAGTGTTCAACAATATGTTGAAATATGCTGAAATTTTGTTTCTTTTTTTTTGTGAATGAGTGTTGTATAATTGTGTTCTCTTTCTCTCCTCCCCCTCCCCCACCCGCCCCACATACACACACATACACACATACACACCCACACCCCCACACACACACATACACATGCACACACCCACACACATACACGCACATACACACCCACACCCCCACACACACACACCCACAC